GCTTCGTCCTCTGCCATTGGTGGGAATTCTCATGGGACAGCAGATCCTCCCCTCCCTGCCTGCTGCCTGCTCCGGGCTCCAGCGCTGAAGTCAGAGCAGGGCTCGTCCCACCAGCTGATGTGAGTGTGGTCCCGCTGAGGGAGCTGCAGTCTGCTTCACGGCCGCATCCAGTGCAAGCGCTGCTGGAGCCCGAGGTAACGCAGAACGGAGAAAACCAGCTGCCAGAGCCCTGGCTTCTGCATGTTGGGTTCTCCCCCAACCCAGACTCCAAGCTGGTGTACTCATGCCTCAGGAGACCACGTCTGGAAAGACCTTCTCTTTTGTTTCTGGATCTTCCCACCTCAGCTGTACTCTTTTCCAACTTAGATACGTACTGTAGCCCCATCTGTTTCATGGCTTCACACATGTAATATTTTCATCCTCCCTGTTTTGTTTTAATGAGGGCTGATAAAAATGTAACCTCCAGTTCAGGAAGAGGGTGAGCACAGAGTATTTCCCTACAAACGTGTCTCTGCTTGTCAGCATTTTTCACCTAGCCAGTTTTACAAAGCTGATGCTTGTCCTGATTTTGTAAACACATGTAGCCTGTGATCTGCAACTTGGGAATCTGCCCACTGGCTGGCTGGATGCAGCACCCACTGGGTGCCCCAGAAAGATCACTGTGTCCACTGCACACTGACAAACTTCACTTCCACATGCAACATGCCACAAGACATCCAGGACATGTCACATCCCCTTCCCACTCCATCTTGCTGATAGCCATTGGAATTCTGCAGGGATTTTCGCTGCAGCAAGATACAGGGTCTGGAAATCTATAACCTGTATTTCCCACAGGTTCATTTCCTGGAGTCTTTGTTCCAAAGAAATGACAAGAAGAGCGGAAGAAGGATCTTTGGATATTTATGCATTTTTCCAGAAGCATAGCAACATCCTCAGGCTTACATTGGAAATATTGGGAGGTTTTCCTCATAACTGGCTCAAAAAAGAATGGTTTGGAACCTACACGAGAGTGTGAATCCGTTCCTTGGTCTTTAAGGTGTCTCCCCGGAACCTGAAGAGTTTGTACAGGACATTACCCTGGTATATACAGGGTGGATTTTCCTGTCAACCCATCAGACAGCACTGATCTCCCTGGGCAGCAACAGAGGAGGAACATAACTTATGTAATATAATAAAGAAAGCGTGCGTGGGTTTAATAGTGATGAAGTTTATCTCCTGCTTCTTATTTTTTCTTCTTGATGTTCAACAAAGTGTGATGCCTACTTGAATTTTACCCTGGAGAGTCTATTTACCACGATAGACTGTGGTCAGGGTTTTCAAAGAGCTTTAGGCACCCAGCCAGAGATCCAAGCACCAAGACAGCTATTTTTATTAGCCTACAGGTATTTGACAGTTGAGCTCTCAGTAAAAAAGAAATATGGATTGCAGAATATCACCTGGCACCCGTCAACCTAAGCAATGAGTGCTGACACTGTAACTTCCCCTACATCTCATCTATGCAAAATGCCACATCACTGCAGGTACCAAAAATAACTGGTGGCAGAGCTGAATACCAGCAGCTGCCACTTGTACATTGCACAGGCATTTTAACCTACATATCTTTTGTAAATAAATCTTTAAGTAGTAATTTGCACCAGTTTAAATGTTACTTAGCATGTGTGCCATGTTTCGGTACCCAGCATTTTCCCTGCAAGCAATGTCATGAAGAAAAACCATAGTTCAGACTCTGTTAGCTTAAAATCCACTCCCTGGCATAAGATGTCCGTTGTGCCAGCTGTGCCAGATCAGGTCTGTACTGGCTCAGGGCTCATCGCAACATGAACAGAATATGGCTCTTTGCTGCATTTACCCCTTCTAGCACAACCTGCTGTCAGTGAAAAGAATCAGACGCAAATACCTTGGATTTTTTTCCTCAGCTGGGTTTGCCAGATGATCCACTGGAAAGCCAACCACCCACGAGAGAAGGTGTGAACTGATTTACCCAGCAGCTGCCCTGCTGCAAGACTCCCCAGAAGGCGAGGCAGCAGGAGCCCATAGCGGAGGTGGGGATGGGAGTGGGAGAGGGGCTGTCCGCTGCGGGGAGGGAGCTCTTACAGCAGTTAGGCGGTTATGTCAAACGTAGGCACGCTTTGAGCCCCAGGAGTCAGCAGCAGAGTGGTTTTATCTCTGTCAGTAAGTTCCTGCTATCCACCCGCTAATTATCACCTCACCCCAACTCTTGCGCCATGGTCTCACTCAGTGATTTAACCCGTGCAGCGCTTGCAGCATTTGGAAGGGGCAGTTACAGTCTTGCCCTCTCCACCTCCTGGCATGCTGCCACTCCTAATTTTGTGGTGGCAGCGGCACTTACCCAACCTTGATCTTGACTCATGCAAATGGTCATCTGTCCTTCGTCCCAGCAAGGTGCATATTAATGACAAAGGGCCTGCACTAAAGCTTCCTTGTCCATCAGTAAGAATCTTACTGCCTGCACAAAGGCAGAGGTTTAGGAGGGGTCGCATGCCTGGTTCATCTCAAATACGAAGGGTTTCTGGGGTCTGATTTTCTAGCACTTCTAAACCACAGAGGCTTAATGCAAAAGCTGTTGGCGTCAGTAGTACTGCTCCAGCAGGCTTCAGGCCTCAGGAGACTTCTCTGGACTGCAGCAGTATGATCCCTGTTTTGGTTGGTTTTAATTGCTTGAATGTCAACAGCATCCAGGTGCCTAACGAGATCTCTTACTCTCTCATCGCCCAGGCACTGTTCTTCCAGAGCAGGGGGAGATGCTGGCAGCTACAGCAGCACTCGGCCCTCTGCTGAGGTGAAGTACAACTGCACCTCGGAGGCCATTCCCCTGCAGCAGAAACCGCCCTGTGCAGCATTGCGCTGCAACCCCTCGGACGCCCCCGCTGAGACGGACATTTAAACTTCATCAGGAGAAAACCACAGCCATAATTCTGCCAAAAGGAGGGAAACACAAGAAGCTTCATGCACTTGGAGTCGAGATGAAGCAATCTATTCAGCCAAAAACATTGTAGGGACCACTTGTTGTTTGCTCCAAAGTGCACGTTATAGCAAATGCGGATATTCTGAGTGAAGCCCCTAGCTGTCCAACAAGCAAATCCAGTGGGACCCTTGCAGAAGGAAAAGCCAATAGACTTGGAGAAGCAGCTGTCTGAAAGCAAGCCCTTCTTGTCCCTCTGCTGTGCTCCCCGGGGGCGGGGGCTCACAGCATTAGAGCTGTTGACTTTGATGATTAAAGTATTTTCTGAGTGTGTGATATTCCTGTTAGCCCTGCTGAGCCCACTTAGGCATGGAAGAGCAGGCTGGACTCTGTCTTGGCTTATGCCTCAAAAGCAGAATTGTTAACAATGTTTTGACTGGACTCACACTTATTTGCAAGATACGCGGCGGGAAGGGGCCAGCCTAATTTTCAGATTCTGTTGCAAAGTCTGTAGAAGGAAAAATCATTCTTTGCACATGCCAAATCTGCAAATTATACCTGGAACTACGTTGTGATGGTGACTGTGGAAGCCCACGATGCGCTGTGATTGATTCCATGATTTTCTTGATACGTTTGTAATGTTTTATAAGCAGTTTTAAAGTGCTGTCTCCGTGAGTCACTTGGAATTCTCATATTTTTCTCTTTAAAGGAGTCTGTGGTCCTGTGGCCGCAGAGAAACCATGAACATCTCAACCTGGAGATTCAGCCCTCGAGCGCAAAGAGCCACTTCTTTCCTACTGTATAAATTTTTGTTATTTTTTGTTCTGCTGTGCAAGGGGGAGGACTGGATTCCTGCTCTTCAGCTGCCTGGGACAGGCCCCGCCGGGTACCAGCTGTGGGCACTCCTGGAGCGCGCCCCTCCGCAGCAACAGCTGTACCCCAAGATGATCCCAGCAGTGTTCAGCTGCCAACAGAGACACGGGACCAGGCAGATTCCTCTCCCCATCAAAAAGACCCACAAATTTGCCGCTCTGCTGACGCAAACCAAAGGCAGCAGAGGCATCTGCAGAGCCCGGTGTCCCTGTGGGGTGCCAGCGGGACTGTCCGCTCTCCTGCTCTCCCTGCGCTGGCCCAGCGGGCCTGGGGATCCCCGCGTGGCCCTGTCCGTGGGCAGGACACGGAGCGGGAGGCTGGAGCGCAGCCAGCCCGTGGGATGGGCGAATTTTAATCTCCAGCTTCTGCGGGCCCTGTGCGGCAGGTCCGGGGGGGCTGTGCAGTGCGTGCTCTCCGGACGCTCCACCGCGGCGGCCAGCCACAGCAACACCTGAGCAAAATAAAATCCAATTTCTGCTCTGCCCCTCTGGAGAGAGTGGGGACAAGAAGCTGCTGGGAGGGCTCTGCTCTGCGAGCGCTCTGAAGCCGAGAATTTAGTCTCAATAGCTGTAATAGCTATTAGGCAGGTATTCTTTATTCGACGTATTGGACGCATAGGGGATCATTCCTCCCAATATGTGCCGCACTGCAGTGGAGTTCATGGTATTTATACACCATGTATATATATGTATGTCTATATGTAAGTACATATTCATGTAATTTCTAAGAACTAATTACGATATTACTTTTCCAAAAAATCATAATATGTTGCTGCCTCCTTCCACATGCGCACTACAGTCTCTAGGTGGTCTTCTAGGACCCCCAGTGGTCATTTACTTCATCACCCTCATCTTCACCACAGCGTCCTTTCTGTGAACTTGGTTCTGTCTTCCCCTTTCCCTTACAAAACCAGTTGCATCTGGTCATTCTGCAGGCTTCAGTGTCCTTCTCCCATTATCTTGTTTTTTCCTAGATAGGAGCGGAGCGTACCTAAACCATGCAACCAGACAGGCTCCAGCCTGTTAGTCACAGATAAGGTGTACCTTATTCCTTCGTTAGGCAGATTCCGAAGCAGAACTACGAATAAAAATATGATTAGATTAAGCAAACAAAATTGCCGCCACTGGCAATTTGTAATTTTCCATATGTCTTCACTCTTCACCTTTTTTAGCCCCGCCCGAGGCCGGCCGGCTCCCCTCAGAGAGGCGCTGCCGAGCAGGATAACTGAACCCTTCTGAGGGGAAAAACGGCTGCCGCGGCCCAGGCGGGGCTGGGAGGGGGCTCCGGCTCCCTGCCGCCCGCCCTGCGCGGGCTCGGAGGCCCCTCAGCTCCCGGGAGGGCGGGACGGGGCCGCGGCCGCCCCGCGGGTCCTGGCAGGGCGATACGGAGCGGGAGTGCCGGCACCGGGTGCACCGGGTCCCGCCGCGGCGGCGTGTGGGCCCGTCCGGGCCGCCATGCTGCCCGCGGGCCGCGGCCGGCGGTGAGAGCGGGGCGGGCGGGCGGGCGGGCGAAGGGCGGGCTGTGCCGGGGCCCTGACGGCGCTGGGCCTTGCAGGGCGGCGGCAGCGTTGGAGGCGGCGCTGGGGGAAGGCGCGGAGCGGCGGCGGGAGCTGGAGCAGCGCACGGCCAGAAGCCGGGCCGTCCTGCGGCGCTGGTGAGTGCCGGGGCCCGCGGAGCTGCCCCGGGCGGCCCTGCCCGCAGCCCGGCGGGCGAGCCCGGGGCCCCTGGCGCCGGTAAGGCGGGCGCTTGCGTTCCCGCAGCCGTGTCAGAGGCCCCGCCGGCCGCCGAGCCCGGCCCTGTTCAGCAGTGCCGGCCCTTGGCGCTGTGTTTCTTCCTCCCCCAGGGGCTGTGAGGAAGACGAGCAGGCGCAGCCAGAGGCCGGCTCCAGCAAGGGACATGGTGAGCGCTTCTATCTCCGCCTGGTGCCACCTCATGTCTGTCACACCGGCCCGTTTGGCCTGGCCGGAATTGAGCTGGCTTTGGTGTCACAAGTCCTTCCAGTGCTCTGCACTGACATCGAGCCGCCCTCTACCTTTTTCCTCCCACTTTCCTCCTTGGTGTTGGCTTGGAGTCGTGCTGCACTAACCAAAGCCAGCAACGAAGTGTCTGTGGGCCTGACTGATGTGGTGGTTGTTACTTGTTGATGGAAGGGGACGTTGACTTGGGAGAGCTGTCTCCTGTGACTCACATCCATCTTGGGGTTTCGAGGCTTTTGGCAAGCCTGCCTGTATCCTCTGTGTAGTTGCTGTGGGAATGCGGCCAAAATACCCACTGTACCATTTGCTGGGCTTGGTTTCCTTTTGGGGCACCTGGAAAAGCAAGTTAATGTAGAGACAAATGGGAAGGATCTAGGTTTGGACCTTCTGATATGTGTTATCCTCTTGCAGAGAGCAGGCCTTCACCCAGGGAGCTGGAGGAGCTGGAACTGCTGAACAGGGCCTTAGAGAAGGCACTGAAAGTCAGGAAAAGCATCCTGAAAACTCCATTAGAGGCCCAGGGAGCTGCAGGACAGAAATCTGCAGGTGAGGAACCTGCTCCTAAGAATTCTGAAGCACAGCAAGTGCCTGTACCTGTTCAGGATGTTTCTGAGAGCACAGAGGTGAGAACTGTAAGCAAAAAGCCTGTCTCTTTGAAGAAGCCGTCTAGCAAAAAGCCTGTCTCTTTGAAGAAGCCTTCTCCATACCAGCTAAGAGCTCCTTACAGGACTGACCCAGATGTGAAGAAACTGCAAAGGAAAACCCCAGCCAGATGTGTTTCTCAAGGTCCCAGGACAGATGGGAAGAGCTCCTCAAAAGGGGTGGCTTGCAAACAAGGAAGGAGTCATAGGACAGTAATCAGTGTCAGTGACAGAGAGGTCTGTGCTCCAGCTGAACCCCAAAAGATACCTGGCTTGTCCAAATCTGCCCTGAATGAGAAGCAAAGCTTTTCCGTAGGGAATTCAGCTGGGGGAAAGAACTCTGTAGCTGCAGGCGAGCAGTTATTTGATGCAGGAAGAAAACACTATGGTTTCCTGGGAGAGTCCATCAAAAAGGAGGACCTTACAGCTGAAGGTGCTTTGGGAAGGAGAACCTCACCTCAGCCAGTCACCCTGCAGGAAAAGGGGTAAGTGCTGAGAGATGGGCACCTCTGTCGTCTTCTGCTTGACAGTGACTAGCACATCTGCAAAGCTTGGTCTTTTCTACTGCTCTGTAAGACCCAGCTTGGTTTCACCTCTCCTAGGATCCTTCTCAAGAGGAAGGATCCTTTACAGTTCAAAAGCCTTTATTGTGATCCAGTGAGTGTTTTCATTTTAAGGGCTTACTCTTGGATGGCTGGGATGCTGAAAGTCTTTTAATTAAGACTTTTGATATTTCATAGTCCCCTGTGACTGTTTTGGAAAACTGTCCCTGGTGAGCTTTCTTGACCCTTACTTTTCCTCTGAGTGCACTTTCTATTACAACTTACTGATTTTTTTATTTTTTTTTGTTTTTAATTGCACGCTTGCACTTTCTCCCTCTCATATGCTCAGTCTTTGGAGAGATGGCATCTGGGTTCAATACTATCCCCTTTAACCTATAAGATACTGCCCGTGTAACTACACAAATAGTATTGACTAAAATGCAGTTGTTTTGAGTGTTTGGTGTAGGAAGAATTATGAAATGGATGTTACTGAGTTTCTCTGTGGAAAGTTGGCAAAATAATACTTAGAAGATTTGCTTTGCATTCAAACCAGTCTGTCTTGTTCAATAATTTCTATATTATTTTCTGTGTACTCTTTGCTTTAAAGAAAAAATGAAGTTTAGATCTGATACATACCTGTCCCTGGAAAATTTTGAGAAATAGTTCTCAGCTGCCACAACCCAACTCTTGTGTTTGTGCAGGGAGGAAATTATCACTGTCCATGTGGTGTTGGAACAGACACAAGACAGAGTGACAGTTGCTGGGGGAACAGGAATCTGGATTCAAATATTTATTTACTTAAAATCTCAATTGTGGTCTTGCGTTCATAGTCTGCATGTGACTCTAGCTGTAACTGCCAACCCACATGTTTTTCTAATAACAAGTTATGGGTTATTATACTTTGGGCTTAAGATGCTTATTCCCAGTGGAAGCCAAAATGTCCGTTTCCCATTTCTTTGAGTGTTTATGGTGCTAAGAAAAGCTGCCTTGTCATGCTCAGGTATGGCAACAGTGCCAGGGAGATCTGCCTATGCTCACATCTGTATTGATCAGCTTCCCCGAACATGTTGTTCCCATGCCTGTACTCTGTTTTGTCAGGGATTTGCTCCCAGCTTCTCACCTTGGATGAACCTCTTCATGGCTGATGGTGGGATGCAGGAACTCTCCCAAGTCCGCTCAGTGGAAATGCATGAGCAGACTGATCCTCTTTCCTTGAGGACAGGCTAAAGGCAGTGGGGGATGCAGTCTCCAGGGTTGCTGACGTCTTAATTACAGCTAAATTAATTTCAGGTTTAGACAGAATGTAATTTTCTGTCTTTGAAGACAAGGCTCCACTGCTCTCTGGCAGTCAGGATTGATGCTTCTTTTCTTTTGCAGATGCCAGCTGAAGCTACCGCTTCCCTACAGGAAAGCCTATTCCAGGAACTCCAGGTAAGCCCAGCCTGATCAGTCCAGAACTACCTTCTGCTTAAGGGCTGTGAAGAGGGGCCAGATGGGGGAGACCTGGCTGGTTTGCAGGTTGCAGGGAGGCACTGACCCCACAGTGTGTGGGGTCTGGACTCAGAGCAGGAGGAACGGTCCAATACAGTGTGTCTCAGCAAGGCTGTTTCTGAGGATATGTGTTTTCATATTATTCTAGCCACTGGCATTACTTTTGTTTTCAGAGTGCTAATCCCTGCTAATCACCAAATTATACAGGCACTGGAATGCTTTAATCGTGGGTTTAACAGTGCTGCTCTGCTGATAGCACATACCTGGTGAAGGCAGGAAACCCTGTGGGGTGGGTGCCTCTATACCCTGTGCAATGAAGGAGTTTCCCAACCAGTTACTGACCTGAACTGCTCTGCTGGGGCACCTCTGTGCCCTGGAAGCACCACAGCTGTGTCTGTTTGAGGCTGAGTCCTGCTGATGAACTCTATTTAAAAGAGTCAGTTACTGCACTGATGGTGCAGGTGGTTGGGTTTCTGGTGAACTTGGTGCTCTAGTCCATTCTCCAGTCCTCTGGAAGGGTTTCCCACTGTTTCCTTTGAAAAATCTTGCCATAGTTCAGGATATTTCTCATTATGTAGTTTGTCTAGATACTAATCGTAAACCCTATCTTAAATCTAGCTATAGCTCCTTGTGCTGCCCTTTAAGAATTCCTCCTCCTCTTGGGAACTGTCTTTTATCAGACATCAGTTTGTTAGCTGCCCTTCAGCAAGTTGTAAAGACTTGTTTCCTTTAATTTTCACTTGTAAATCGAACCCTTTGGCACCCTAATCACTCTGGTGTAATTTTACACTCTTCACTATTACTTTCAACTCAGTGACAGATTGAAAATAACCTTTACTCTAAAGATCCCTTATAGAGGGAATGCATCTTGCCTGGTAACTTATTTTCTGTTCCATTAACCTTGCTACTTCTTTGCATAATGTGTTTCTGAAAACTGCAGTTTCTATCATGATTTAAAAGATCCATTTGGATGGAGAGAAGACACATGCATACTCAGGTTAGACAGTCATGTACTGCTTAACTATTTTAAGCTTCTTCCTGATGGCTCTCACTTATTGCAGCATGTTTTGGGAGACTGGCTGAGATGCACAGGCTCTTTAAAGCAGTCATTTACTTAAAGGATGTTACGGGGACTGTGCATCAGTGGGGATGTTGAGCTCTGTAAGTGAAATGCACCTCTGGTAGTGCTATTATTTGTGTAACACTTACTTTTAAAAACTGGACACTGATACGAGGTCCTGGCCAGTTTACTCCTGATACTGTTCTTAAATGTTTGTGTTCCTGATACTGATGTACTACTGTCATACCCTTGCCAAATATACCACTTTGTCAAAAAAGGAAAAAAAAAAGGGTTAAAGGACAGTCTTGAGGAAGTTTGACATTTGAAGGAATCACTGTGGTAAAAGCTAGGGTGAGAATTTGTCCTGTCTGCTCTTCTTTTTGCACACATTTGTTAAGAGAGTAAATGTACAGAAATGCAAATGACTTACCCCTCAAGAAAGGAAGGGAAGATGTGTTGTTTCCTGTGGGATAAAAACATGAGTAGGGTGATACAATAGAATTAGTGGTGTGCTGCAAGTTCACATTCTGTTTGTAGAAACGTATCGTCTCTCTTCTGATGGCTGTAAATCCTTCCCCTCGAAACAAGTTGAGAAATAACATAGGTGTTTTGCAGAGTCTAATGCTTTCTGCAGGGTGTCCTTGCTGATCTAATACCAGCTGTTAAAAATGAGGGGGGAGTGGCTAGTAAATAACCTGTAAAAGAGAGGTATGAGGAAGATTCTTGTATTTGAAGCACTGATATGTCATTGATGTGTCGCGTCTCAGTGTGAGCACTGTTTGGGACAGTGGAGCATAACTTCACTTCCTGCCTCTTGAATTTTCAGGGCATGGGAGAGATGTCGTCTCTGCCAAACAAGTGCAGATGCAGCAGCTGCAAGGAACTGTTTTATAGAGAGGATCCAGACAACTGTATCCTTTCTCAGCTCACTGCCCCCTTCCATGAGCACGTGGTGTGATACAGTAGGCACCGGGTGCAGTCGTTCTGCAGCATGCTCCCATCTGGAGAGAGTTATTCCTCCAATAATAGGAGTTCAATCTGGGTCTCTAGGAAGTGGTTTTTTTCCACAGTGAATCTCTTGAGCAGTCATAAAACTTTTGATCCGGACAAACAAGGCCACAAGGCACACATGCCATACACAGCTGCGCTGTCTTTGCCTTCCCCCTGCAACGCCACTTCACAGGCTGCTTGCCCTCTGCCTCTGCCCCTGATTCCACCTAGTCTGGCTCTGGGCTTGGGGTAGCACACAGCTGGTGGTGTGAAACCTTCCTTAAGCTGCTGCTGTTTGAGTTCTGTTCACCAATGCCAGCCTTCAGTCCTGCAGAGATAGAGGAGGAATTGAAGGTCCTCCAGGATGTCCCCTCCCTTCTGAGCCAGTATGTGGAAGCTGAGCCTGCAGGTAAGGAGAAGAAAAAGGAGGGGTGGAGGTGGCAGAAGGTGGAATAAGGATGATTTCAGTGGGGTCCAGTTCCACGTGTCTGGTGTTCTTGGCATGTGCTGGACATGAGGGGCAGGAGCATTCTGTGCTTAAAATGAGGGCTGGTGAAGCCAAGGCCATTCTAGAAACTGGTATTTGGGAGAGAAGGTTTCAGTATGCTCATGCCTGCTGTTTTTCCTCTGCTTCTCTTCCAGACCATCCCACTCTGCAAAGAGAATATGAAAGCCTTCTAACCTTGGAGGGTTTGCAAACCACAGTTTCCCAGTGCCTGCGTAAGCTGCAGCTTCTGCGAGCAGGTGAGCCAGTCCCTGTTTTTCTAGTCAGGTAGGAATGTGGCCAGCTGTGCTTGAACAGTAGTTTGCCATCTGTGCACAGAACACTGTGGACCAACACAAATTTTCTCTTGGTTATCCTTAATGATAATGTAGCATGTAAAATTCTCTGCTGGCAAATGAAGCTGTGGTATCTATTTGCCACCCATCTATGTTCAGGAGAGGCTTGGGACTTTAACTGCTGCAATTCAGGAGGGCTGGTGAGGGAGCTATTGAGATATGAGGAGACTGCATGCCATAGCTTAAGGTGTCCTGATTGTGCCATGTGTGAGGAGCTCACCCTGACTAATACAATGTCACTAATCATTCATTTCTAGGAACAGCATGTAAATCACAAATTCTGCAAGTACAGATTTAACTTGTCTATTTCTGCCTCCTCTCAATTCTTCCATCCTGGCAGCTGTGGAGTCCCAGATGAGGCTGTGCCCAGACTGCACTGGGGACGGAGGAAGCTGCTCTCCAGCCCATGTTCCTCCCAGGGGACCGGCGTGTGACAGTGCAGGCATGCTGGCTGTGCCTCTCCTTTGTTACTCCAGTTTTCAGGAGCTGAGGGACCTGTTTGCCTTGAAGCTGCAAGTGTCAGTGCTGCACCAAGAAATTGCCTTACAAAAGGTGAGTCTTTGAAAGTTAGTGCTCCTGGGGTAGGGCAAGAAAAGGGCAATTGTGGGGTGACAACTGGTATATGGGGTCTTGGTGGGGAGCAGCAGCACAGCAAGCTTTCTCAGTGGTGTTTCTATGTTTATGCCTCGTGTCCAAGTCCCATCAGTGCCTTACGTGCTTTATAGATTGAATGGACTTACTTTTTTTGTTAAGACCAGAACAGTGACCTTTCAGTGTTTGAGTCTTCTGATAAGATTTTTGTTGTTGTTGTTGTTTTAGCTACTCTGAAAGAGTTTGACAGTGGAGGATGTTGGTGGTGCCTGGAGACCCCTTTTGGCAGTCCTTTACAGTCCCATTAGAGCACTCACTCTGTCATTGTCTCCTGCATGACCTCCAACTAGTGAACTCCTCTGGTGTCTGTTCCTTTCCTTTTAAATCTCAAACCACTGTGCTGCTAATCTCGACTTTACTGTTCTGAGACTGCCTGTAAGAACATGATAGGAGGTCTGTCTCTCCACCAGCCTGAGCAGAGTGCTCATTGCACGGGGATCACTTGTTCTTCTCAGCCAACAGCAGCAAAGGGCTGAGAAGATCTGTGAAATCACATCTACTCCTTTGACCTAACCTTTGCTGTTGACCTGAATGATAGACACTTTGGAAAAGTTGTTTTTTGTAAGCCAGGAAGAGTTATTCATAACTGGCAGCATAGCACCCTCTGAATGAAGATAGATTGCTGCCTGTCTTCAAATGGGACTCTGGTGCTATAATCCTGAATTATGAGTTGTGAGGGTTTTGATTTTTATCTACCCAAAATGAAGTAGTGACCGAAGCCTGCTGCTTGATGCTTTGTCAAGTGACTCGATTTTCTCTGCACATGTATCTAAGTAGGTGCTTTGTGCTGGGTGAGCTCTAAGCATCTGAAGCAGCTCTTTACAGAGTGTGCAAGATAGGTGAAATTCTTGGGACAGGTGAAATGAATGGACTTGCTACAAGATAAATACCCTGGGAAAGGATGTATGTATTTTTGGGTGAAACCTGTCCATTGCCTTTCCTTGGAGAAATGCTAAGAATCCTAAAAAGTCCTCGTAGCTCGTAGCCTGTCTTTGATGGTGAAGGCCTATTTCCCCTATTCTTACGCACCAGGAGCAGACCAGGCAGATGGAAGAGAAGGGGCTCGCTCTCAAGAAGTGGAGCAGTGTAGCAACCTCTTCATGTGCCAGCCTTTCCCCTTGGATAGCTTTCATATCTGCAGCTCTTAACTCTTCCCAGAGAATAGCAACTGTGTTCTGTTCCCCTGTCCCTGTGCAGAGACTTATGAAGAACAGGAAAGGAAACCCCTTGCAGATGGCCTGTACTCTGTACCAAACTTCTGTTTGGGTTTTCCTTTGTTTCCGCCACTGAAAAATGCTCTGAGGGAGGTGACTGACACGTGCAGTTCATTGTCCACTCTTCTCCTGAGAAGGCAGTGTGTATAATAGGCTGTATGTTTTTTTTAATGTGCAGACTGCTCGGACTTCATTAGCGGATGCCAGCTGAAAAATTAAAAAAAAAAAAGTCCCAGGCAAAATGTCTTTCTCAGTATTAATTCAAGAGTGGGGTACTAGAGGCTAACTTTTGTCCTTTTACTGGAAGTTCACCTGTGCTTGAGTTGTCAGTCACAGTCATAATCCCAGAGCTTTGTGCTGTTAATTATGCTGTGACAGGCTAGTGGGTTGTTTGAGAGCATGGCCTGAGATCACGAGCTAGGTTTAATAAACCAGAGGCCAGGCTGGGGAATGTTGGACAGCTTTAGCATCCCCTGTAGCCTGTGCTGCTGGGGAGGTGTGTAGCTTTGTTCTGTTTGGGCTGGACTTGGCCGCTTGCCTGGCTGTCTTGGATTAATGTGGCCCAACTGGGAGGTGCAGGAACAGTCATGTGTGAATGGTTGAATTTAGCATTGAGTAAGTGCTTCACTGTGTGGTTGCAGAGCTCCTGAGTCAACATCAGCTTCAGCATCCTGGTTTTGGCTAGGACAGTTAATTTTCTTCCTAGTAGCTGGTATAGTGCTGTGTTTTGGATTTAGTGTGAGAATAACGTTGATAACACACTGCTGTTTTAGTTGCTGCTAAGTAGTGCTTATCCTGATTAAGTCAAGGATTTCCCAGTTTCCCATGCTCTGCCAGCAAGGAGGGGCACAAGAAGCTGGGAGGGAGCATGGCCAGGACAGCTGACCCAAGCTAGCCGAAGGGATATTCCATACCACAGGATGTCATGCTCAGTATATAAACTGGGGGGGTGTGGAGTGTGGCCAGGAGGGGTCGATCTCTGCTCAGGGACTGGCTGGGCACCAGTCAGCAGGTGGTGAGCAATTGTATTCTGCATCACTTGCTTTTCTTGGGTTTTATTTTTCTCTCTTTATCTTCCTTTTCATTACAATTATTATTATAATTACTATTATTATTATATTTCAATTATGAAACTGTTCTTATCTCAACCCATGAGTTTCACTTTTTTCTGATTCTCCTCCCCATCCCACCACGGGGGTGAGGAGTGAGCAAATGGCTGCGGGGTGCTTAGTTGCCAGCTGGGGTTAAACCACGACATTCAGCTTCTTGCAGGATGCTGATCTCATCCCAGCACTGGGCCATCTCTGCAACAGAGGAAAAGCACTGCCATTTATCTCGCTGCTTTAGGAAGGCTGGGTGGCTGCTGGTGTACTTCATGAGCAGAGGATGAACAGCTCTGCCTTTGTTAAATATGACAAGAGAAAGCATCTGTCTATCAATTAGCATGTTATTAGTCATACCGCTCTGGTTAGATTTCACTTGTTATGCAGCCACTTCACTTCATGGAATCCTAGAAGTGCACACTGGCTCTGGTGACATGTCTCCTTTGCTCCTGCCCAGGTCATGATGGCAGAACTGCTGCCTGTCCTGGAGTCCAAGCTCTGCCTGGAAGCCTCTGTGGCTCAGCTGTATCGGGCGATTTACACGCAGCTCTGTGAAGGAGGCAGTCGATTCCCTGTGCTGGTGAGAGATGAGCTGGCAGACTGATCTGGTGGGAGTCTCCTACTAGCTATTCACATAACCGGAGACAATTTTAAGCAATAAATCTTCTCTATTAACTTTTTTACTCTGCCTGTTTGTCCAACTACATTTCAGGGGTTTGGGGGTATTTTGTTGTTGGTTTTGTTTATTTTTTTTCTTTTATATCACTTTTATGACCTGCTAACTCCAAGGTTTTGTGAAGTCCCTTCAGGGCTTCGTAGACACTGGTTTGGGCTTTTCTTCCAAAGGCTGGCTGGCTGGCTGGCTCTAGATTCTTGGCTGCTTCAGTCAGGACACGAGGCTCCTATATGCAGACAGTGTAGCTGGCAATAAAACATGATTTATGCTGATCAGACAGCCACAGAATGGTGGGGAAGAGCCTTCCAGCATGTGAAAATCCAGAGAACCCAAGCTGCTGCCTCTCTATTACTCTTCACCAGTTGGCATATAACCAGCATTATAGCGGTCACTGTCTAATATTCACCGACTAACAGGTTGGGTTTTTTTTTTTATGTCATCATCCACAGTGGCCCAGGCTGCATGCAGTAGTGCCTCTTGTGGAACTCCTCTGGTTTGCGGGTGCCTGCTCTGAGCTGGGCTGGTGCCTGGGTGCTGGTGCTGCAGGAGCTGCCCCTTCTCAGCAGTTTGTCAGTCACATCGCTGCTCCACTCAGGAGGCAACTTCACCACTTGCCGGGCTCCTTTGTAAGGACTGACACCTAGCCTACAAGTGAAATATTTTTGCTATGTCACCTTATCTGGTGCTTGTGCCCGAGGCAGCAGTCTGAGAAGGGCTGGGTGAGGCTTGGGAGAGGTGAAGGAATGCAGCTGCAGCGGGAGGGAGCCCATAGAGCAGCCCGGTAGATGGCACTCGGGCCCCTGCGTTACTGCTGAGCCTCTGCCGGCAGCTGCTGGGGCAGCCGTGTTCCAGAGGCACTAATGCCACGTCCTGCCTGGCTGTGGAAAACACAGATTCTATGGCAATTCTGACTTGGTCACCATGGGGAAGTTCCAGCTTCGATTCCTCCTGCATCTTAGGTTTTTGCTTGTAATCCACAAATCCGTTTCTATGTGACCATTAAAGCAAAGCTTTAGAGTCAAGTGGAATACTTCTGCATGTGAGCACTTTGAAGTCCATTTTAGGGAAGGGCCACTGTGTGCTGCTGCTTATTACAGTTTGACTCGCACTCTATCTCTCAGCTGGACTAGGACTGTTCACTTGGGGGGATTTAGCTTTTAGCAGTACTGATAGTGGTTGTTTTTTTTCCTTCTAATTTTTTCAAGGCCAGAGTTAGTTGTCTGTCTATTCTGAACGTTTGGCCCTTTCTAGCACTCAAAATTCACTAAAAATCATTGATATGTTAAGTGAAAATCATCATCTCTCACTTTTTTTTTATAGCATTGCATTCAGTTCTTTCTGGATGGTATCTGATTTCCCATGGAGTCTGCAAGCAGGGCAGGGGTTCATTACCTTCTTCCCCACTGCAGCATGCAGGGGAGTCCCATGTGGTTTACATCTACGGGGGAAACCACGCTGTGGTCAAGAGTACTGGAGGATTGCAAGATATTGATTTAAAGGCTGCTCACAGGGGCAGACACTGCCTCCTAAATTAGCGTGGTCATATGCCATGGGCATTAATATCTGCATGTTTGAATTTTAGAGATGACATTTGGTATTGTTAATTATCATGCTGTTATCCGTAACTTGTGTCTGTAAGCACTGCATGAGTCATGGAGTATCTGTTTCTTTCTGCAGAGCAGTCCAGTGTAAATTGGCAGTAGCTTCACTGCCACAGCAAGGACTGCAGAGGTGTGAAAGGACTGTGGAAAAAAAGAGACTGAGCCCACCAAAATGGGTTCACGGGGGTTGTTAGAAGCAAAAAAGGCAAGCTGACACTGTAGGAGGGGTGCGGAAGGGGGGCACAGCTGCTAGCGTGATAACTGGCAGGTAGCTGGGTTGTTTTATGCCTCTGGGTGCAGTGTGGTTTTATTACTCTTCCTACACCATGTGAGAGGCATTTTATAATTTTCATAAATGTGTAAGACTTTAAATCATTTGAATGACTCACTTTTTCAAATGAGTCTTGTGCTATAGCAGATAAAGATTCAATCGCAACTTAACTCAGTGGTTGGGGGGTCTTTTTCCTTCTAAAATGTGCCATTGTTATAGAAAGAAATTACACTGGTGCATCAAATTGAGATGAGGAGAAAAAAAAAGACAAAAGGCAGTTTTTGTGATGCCAGGGGATGGCATTACCAAAATACAGGAAACGAGCAGCATTTTTGGAAAGAGACAGGCGATATGGGTGTTGTGTAGTCATGATCAGAGACAAAGCATAGTGAAGGTCAGGGAGGATTAGCAGCTCATATTCCTTCTTTGTCCCCTCTAATAGAGTCTTAAAAGATTGTTTTTATTTTCCACTACTGAAGGAAGGATCCCCGGGAGAAGACAGGTTTGTTGTTTTCTTTCCACAATCTGTGACTTGAAGTATTTCCAACTGCTGTGGTTTGCCTTTTCCACTGGTTTCCTCCTTTCCTTCCCCTCTGCAATTTCTTCACTTACTGTTTTTTCTTTCTACAAATACATTTGGCCAGTGGAAAGACAGAGGCAGTGCCGCTGTTGATGCACTCTACAATCAGTAGACCCTCTTGTAGGATTTCACACGCACTAGTAATCTTTGGTTAGTTCTGGATATTCGTTGTGTTGAAACCTTCAAGGGGTTTATCCTGCAGATGCTATCAGATATGCCAACAAGTGCTTGCCACAGCTCCCTCCTTGGGAGGTCCAGCATGTGGCTTTAGGGACACTCTCCATCTAAAACAGAAATAATTGGAGTCTTGGTAAGAAATAAGGCAAATATCACCAAGAGTGGTGTGGGGGAATGCCCTGCCTCTTCTGGCCTTTTTGAGGGCTGAGCAGTGATGGAGCATGACAACCTGTGACCTGCTGAAATGACTGCATATATACCAGGAGCACAGGTTACTGTTTATAGAGAAACAAAACCGGAGGAACTTTATGAGGGATAAGGAAACTTCATCAACAAGCAGTCTAAGATGGTAAGTGTTGAACTGGGGGGAAATCTCCCAGCTCTCTCTGTAGACGACAGTTTTGCTGTTGGTGTTATTCTCCAAATGAGGTTTCTGTGAGCTCCAGAGAGCAGTTTACTTAATTAAAACACTATATGTAGTCAAGTCCGAAGCGTTAACACCTGAATCAGCAGCTTGTCAGGCATCTGTGCTGTCGTGCCAGTTGAGGATTTCCAGAAAGAGCAGTGGTGCTGTCAAATGCTGAGACGGGAAGCTAGTAGAAGTGTTCAGGACAGCTGTATGTCTTCTACACACATCCTTGGATTTGAGTAAAAAGTAAACTAAAATAAATCGCTCCCTGAGTTACAGAATTCAGTGTGAGCTTGGGATTTCCAGATGAAGCTTTGCTGGGAAATCTTGCCTGTCTCTGATAAATCTGAAAGTGGTGATGTTGAGTTAAATGTGACTGCAAACCACGCTGAGGATGCTGAACATGGGTAAATACAGGAATGCGTAGCGCTCGTCGGGACTGTCCCAGGCTCTCTAATTCACAGTATACTGTAAACAATGAGTTGGAAATACTTTAATAACCTCGTGAAAGCCAGGAGAAGGGGCCAACATGGATTTTTTTTTTTTGCAGGCAGGCAGCCAGTACACAGCTGTGCATTTCCAGTCCTGAGTCCTATCTCCAGGTGGGGTCACTGAGAGGCTGTAGGAGATGGTGGATCTGACACCAGGGGCTTTTCACTTTTTATCTGTAAAATGGAGGCTGATGTTATTTCACTTGCTCATTAGCTTGATTTTTGCCACATCTGTGCTCTCTGGAGGAAGGCCTCTTGGTTTTGGATTTTTGGGGTTTTTATTAAGCATATATGCTGGGACTGACACAGTTGACAGCTGGTTTCATCTGGTTGCACTGGAAGCTTCAATAGTCCTCCTTCACTTCCATTGAAAACAGCATCACAAAACAAAAACCCTAATCACTCGGTCTGACATGAAAACAATTCATTAAATAGGTATTAAAATTTCTATTATCCACCATGCAGATCAAATACTATTTTTGTAACATCAGAACCAGCATTCAGAAGAAAAGATCTATCACCTTGTTTTTAATTTGTGAAGAAGGAAGGGTTTTAGCATTGTGATAAAGAAAAATCTGTTGCTGCTTAATTAATCTGAGCTGGGTTAGAAAGAAGAGAGTGGAAAGCATTGCGCCACGTACGCCAGGGTATAAAGAGCTGGTAATGGGAGGGGAAAAAAAAAAAAAAAATAAAAGCAAGTTTTGAACTGTAATTTCAGAAGGCGAGAAATTACAGCAGTGGGCTATTTAGGCACACAGACGGAGATGTTTGGCTTATTTTTAGACAGAACAAGAAAGATAATCAGTGGATCTGGAGTTCAGATAGGAAAAAACAAATAGAAGCAAGCTCTGAGTCAGCAGAGGAGACTGACTCCCGAGAAAAGCCTGTCCGACATCTTCCCTCCCAGTTTCTGAGAACACAAACTCCCAGTTGTGCTCATGCCTGCCGGTTAGGATTTATTCAGCCCTTGCATGTTGTAGTGGGAAACAATCTATTAGTCTCATTTTATCTTCAGTTTAAGAAGAGGAAAACGAAGGAGACTTGATGCACACATTCAAGTCAGTAAAACTTCAAAGTAGGGTTGCTTTGTCTGCCACAAATGGATTTGCATTGTAAAATATGTTGAACTGCACCTCTGTAGCACCTCAGCATCCTTTTTCCTCTAGTAAAACTGTCGCACCATATCTGTTGTTGCAGCTGGCACAGCCTTGTAGCTTCGGAGTTTGGAGTTGTGCATTACCTGAGGATCTCACTCTTTTGTGGGTTTTTTCCCTGCTTCAGGTTCTAAATTTCAGAATATACAATACTTTTCTCTTTTGAGATGAAATCTCCTATAAGGTGCAGTAAATCTTGCTTTTGAAATTGTTGGGCAGCTCAGTGCTGTCACACAAGGCCATGGGCATCTGTAGTTCTCCCTGCCTTCAGGAGGAATGGAGTATTTGGTGCCAACCAGACACATGAACACACAGAAGAGAGCA